TGAACCACACAGAGGGCACAGGAGGACCCAGGGGGGTTGGGGAAGAAAATATTAGAACTCTTATTTTTACATAGTATATTTAATGTTATCCTTCTTTTTTTTTTTTTTTTCTTTTTCCGTGTCTGGCAACGGATCGCAACCCTCAGTGTCGCCCCTGTACCGGACCGGGACCGGCAACGGGATCGCAGCCCTCGGTGTTGCTCCCGCACCTCGCTCAGCCAGTGAGCGGGAACCGGTCTATACGTGGGATCCGAACCCTCGGCGGGAGCGCCGCCACGCTTCCCAAGCGGCGCACTACAGCAGTGCGCCACCGGGCCGGCCCCAATGTTATCCTTCTTAAATTTCAATGTTGGACAAGATTTTACAATATGCATAACGTGTACAGGTGCATAATTTACAAATAAATATATGAGGGAATGCTAATTTTATTTCATTCAGTTATTTTGTTGCTGAAGAGATAAACAATCAAAAGTTTGGAGACCTCTGTTCTAGAAGAGTAGCTGTCATTCCAGCTGTATTTTAGAATTACTAAGAGAGATTTTTAAATTATATTATGCCTTACCCCATTCCAGGCTTGGTGAACCCCAATCTTTAGGGGTGAGGTGTGGGATATGTGTATTTTTAAAAAGCACCCCCTGGTGATTCTGCTACAACACCCCCTCTGCTAAAAACCACTTTGTTCTCTAGACTATAAGTTTGCCAAGGGCAAAGATGATATCTCTCTTATTCACCCATATATTTATAGAGTCTAGCACAGTGCCTAACACAAAGTAGATGTTCCATAAATGTTAGCGGAAGGGCTGAATGGTGGACAAATGAGCCACAATCTAGAGACAGCCACTGCGAACTCCCCCAGCCTTTGTTTTCGTGCTTAGTGCTTTCATATGATCATCTTACATGTTCAAGAACATATTATATATAAAATTTGTCGCTTATTTGATCACTTTTAGTAAATAGGTGTTTAGTATATATTTTAGCATTATTTAGCATTTCCTATTATCGACTGAAGTATCTAAAAAATCTTTATACCAAAAGTTTTCTTCTACATATCCAATTGTACGAGGGTATGTCAAAAAGAAAATAGAAGTTGAAGATAATATGAATGAGGATACGTCATGGAAAATAGAAGTTAAAGATGATATGAATCATTCTGTGAACTTTTTGAAGTACCCTCATGTGCTTGGGATAGAGTCTCAGAAGTGGGGTTTCTAAGTCAGCGAGTAAGACCATTTTAAAGGCCATAGCTATTATGGGAAAAATGAATTGACATTGACCCCAGGAGAGGGGGCTCTGGTTTAAGGAGCAAGGGCTTATAGGATTCTTGTGATCCGGCAGAGTGAGAATCTTCAGTGGGACTTTGTGATATGGCAAAAAAGACTTGGAATGTCTGATTGTCTTATCCTGTTTCTACCATTTACTGGCTGTGACACTTAGATTCTTTAAACCTAAGTTTCTTGATCAATACTATGAATATTTACAGCTATGTGACAGGGCTGGTAATTCTGAAGTACTGTTATGTGGTAAAGATAAAAGCGCTAATTTTGATACTTAATATAGTTCCAGACAGACAGAAGATCAGAGTCTAGGAGTGGTTCCCATGAAAAGATACCACCTATCTCTTTTCTATTAAAATGCAGTGTTTACCCACAAGGGGGGTTGAACCCTAGTTCCTTAGGTGGGGGCTCAAAAGGACCCACAACTACAGACTTAGGCCCCTGAGGAAGGTTCAGAGATATTTAGGAACTCTTTGGTCAACAGGTCACCTCAGAAATACCAAAGGTGAGTATCGTTGTTTGCAAAAGGTAGAGCTGCTGTAACTGTGATAAAACGATCATGAACTGTGTGAGGACTCTTTTTTTCTTCATGGTGTGCCAATAAAACCAGTCATGCAAGTCCTCATGGTGCCAGTCTGCTCTAAATGGGAAGCGGCTCCCCACTACTGCTCTTTAATGAGTTTACTCCCGAAACCACCAAGCGAATGGCTGATTGTCCTTTGGAATGTCTGATTGGATTCCAAGACCATGGTCTGCATTTCATTTTTCGGTATGAGCTGTACTTTTCAAACTTGAGTGTGAATGTGGTCCCCTGTCCAGCCCCCTAGAGAGTCTGATTCTGTAGGTCTGGGGTGGGGCCCAGGAATCTGCATCTTCTTCAGTGAGCCTGATGTAGGTAGCCCAAAAACTAGGTTTTGGGAAACACTGGCATAGGAGAAGTAGCCCTACCCAGATAGGGACCAGAAGACTGGGGTTCGAAATGAGTTATTTTCATTTATATCAGCCTAAACCTGATGTAAGGTTTCAGCTCCAAGGGTCCTGTTTCTTCATTTTAAAGCTTCATTTTCACATGAAAATGGGGAAAAGCTCATCCAGGAGAAGCAATCCTCATTCATCATGAGGCTGGTTGCCCAGATCAAATTAGAAACTGTAGATAGGAAAAGTACGGTCATAACTAAAATCACACATTTAAGGTTCTATACTTTTGGCTTCTGCCTTTCACACTGAGAAAACAATGGACAACACCTGGTTAGTTAACACTGTATCCCCGAGATAAGCCTCTGTCCTGTGATGAAGACTTGTTCTCTTTTGTGTTTGTGTGTTTTGCTGTGACAGAGCACAGCTGGCCTCCTACTGGGCAGTGCCATCTGATTTCCTGCCTGGCATTCCTTGTGCTTGGAGTTACCACTGTTGTGACTGGTCTTGGAATCACCTTTGGAATACCTGTAAAAGCTACAAGTATGTGCCACCCCTGGATGACCGATCTGTCAATAATTCACTTGACCAAGAGAGTGTATATATACTCCACATATTCTAAAATGGGTGGCTCTACTGGTAATGGATGGTTGGCACATGGTATGCACCAACCATTGCCCTGGACATTTTACACATCTCATCTTTGTTTTATTCCTCTCAACAGTCTTTCAAGGTGGTTGCTGTTATCACCATTATGACAGAGACTCAGGGAAGTTAGGCAAGATCATGTGGCTAGTAAGTTAACAAGCCAGGGTTCCGACCCAGGTCAGCCTACACAGGTTATGGTTTCCATCTTCAAGGAATTTTCACAGTATAACTAGAAAGACTAGTCACACAGGGGTGCACAATACAGAACAGCATATAATTAGGAATTAAGTTAGGTTGGGCGAGATGATAAATATTTTCAGTAATTGAGAGAAATCAGCTAAGACTGGTGCTAAAGGGATACAGTAGTGAAGGAGCAGGGTCTGGAGCTGAACTTCGTAGGGGAGCTCAGATTTAGATGGAAGATTTGGAAGGGGTTTGCCAGAGATGGAAACTGTGTACTGTCTGGTGGGACATCTTTATACTTGAGCTGAAAAATAACAGAGTAGTTAAGGAGTGGGGGCCGAGTAAAAAACAAGGAGAGAATTATGGTCCAGGAGCACTGAATGGCATGCAATTACTCACACACGCCCATCCACACATTCACGCCATGTCTGCTCCGGCCACACTCTGGCACATGCTCTTCCCTCTGCCATGACGCCCTTCTTCCATCGCTCATTTGTCTGACTCCTAAAGGGTTTAAGACTAATCTCAGTCAGGTGTCCCCAGACTGAGTGAGATGTGCCATCTCTGTGCTTCACAAACCCTATGTAAACATCAATCCAGCTCTTAACCACACAGTGTGGGAATTATCTGTTCTGGAATGTGTCTTGAAGGCAAGAACCATTCTTCTAACCCCAGCCCTGCTACCTGCATGATTGAGAAAGGCCTTCAGTAATGCTTGTTGGGTAAAGAACTGAGGCTTGATACTGCCAGAAGTGGAGCCATGGAAGGCTTTTGAGCAGGGAGATGATAAAAGCAAGCAACACTTGTGTGGTTTCAATGAAGGAAATGGGTTGGAGAGAAAGTGATAGATTTGAGACATGGGAAACTGACTCAGAATGTCATGGAAGAAATGAGACTTGGGGATCTTGGTCTCTTGATTAGACCATTTCTGATCTGGCCATAAACAGTAGGATGCTATCCAACAACAAAAAAATAAGAGTAAGATCTGAATTCTCATTTTATTTTTCTCTTGTATAACCTAAGATAAACTTCTTTTAACCTCAATCTAAAATGTGTATGACTAAGATTTCAGAGTCTATGATATATTAGCAAATGTGTGAAAGGACATATCTGACATTTCTCCCAATAAATCTCTTTCACATCTAATTTTATCTTGGTATCAATTTCTCAGAAGATCCAGCTGACACAGATTCTTTCAGATCACCAGAGCATAATAGATTCTTATGCTTAGAACAACAATGCCAAACATACTGCCAAACAGATTATGGGGTACAGACTGTGCTTTTTCTTCCTCTTAATTATCAACTTAGTCCCAACTGTAAGACATTCTGGATGCAAAATGCACATTCACCCAGCTCCCTTCACCAACTCTAGACTAGGTATCTAAAATGTTTTCAGCCTATTTACCACCCTACACACCAATTAGGAATTTTGTGAGGATACATTATTTTGGGTGAAAATGTCTGAGATACAAATGTTACCAATCTGCTATGACATCTTAAATTCCATCAGATTTGTATAGCACTTAAAATTTTAAAAAATACCATCACATTATTTTGACTACCTCCCATTTAGTTTTCAGTGGGTAGATTCATTGCCCCCAATAACCTCAGTTTAACTCACAGTATCCCCATGAGGTCAGCATAGCAAGTTATCTTTTGTTTCCATTTCTAGCTAAGAAAATAATTGAGGGGGGCTACATAACTAAATCTACAGCAAAGCTCAAACCAAAACCCAGACCTGGTGACTCTCACCCAGGCACCTTCTATGACTTCTCAGGCAGGAGGGAATCTACCCTTGTTTGCCCAAATGCCAGTGGTTTTGCACAAAATGCAAGCTAAGTGGGCTTAGAGAGTTTTGGAGAATATGTGAGAAAATGAAAGAAAATGGGTAGAAGAAATAATGGGGTAAAGGACAATGGCGAGAAGCAGAAGGGGGGAAGGAGGAGGCACATTATTATATTATTAAAGCTTGATGTTCATGGTCACAGGTGAACGCATCAACATCCAGTACTTGTCTCTTCCAGACTTACCTTATCGAAAATGTAAAACAGCTTTGCAGCAACAGGGTTTCTTGTGTGGGGACCTCACTACTTGTTTGCCACCCTCCCTGCTTTGTGACGGCAAGCTGGACTGTAGTCATGGAGAAGATGAATCTGCTACCTACTGTGGTAAGTGGACAAATAACCAAAATTTAAAAATAGTCCCCAGCAACTAATAATGAAAATTAAAAATTATAATTAAGGGCCGGCCCGGTGGCGCACTGGAGAGTGCGCCGCTTGGGAGTGCGGCAGCGCTCCTGCTGAGGGTTCGGATCCCATGTGGAGACCGGTTCCCACTCACTGGCTGAGCGTGGTGCGGGCATGACACTGAGGGTTGCGATCCCGTTACCGGTCAGTAAAAAAAGACAAAAAAAAAAAAAAAAGAAAAAATTATAATTAAAATATTGTCATGCATGAATATTTTTTTTATTAGAAATAATGCCTTTGTTTGGCCGGCCTGGTGGCGCACTGCTACAGTGCGCCGCTTGGGAGAGCAGCGGCGCTCCCGCCGAGGGTTCGGATCCCACATACAGACCGGCGGCTCACTGGCTGAGCGAGGTGCAGGCGCA